CCATAAGGAAGTTTACAAACAGTGATTTTGTGTTAGTCTGGCAAGATTTGTTCTCTATAAATCTGTGTTGGTTTTTAGTACTTACTGCATTGTTTTTAAGATGTTTGCCAACTGACTTCTTCATATGCTCCAGAATTTTGGAGAGATTTATGTCTTCTACCTTTTTGCCCTTTTTTTGAAGATAGGAACAACAGGAACACTCCTCTAGTCGTCTTGCACGTCATTCATCTTCCATGTTTTCTCAAAGATAAGAGTGGTTCTGAGAGTTCTTCTGCCAATTTCTCTTATTACTCTAGGATGCAGTCCTAGAGTTCTAGGAACTGAACTTTGGTGACCACTGGGTTGGGATGCTTGTTCTGTGATGATATTTTGCATGTTCTGATGTGGAAACAAAACTCACGATGATAAAATGTAACACAGTTTTTGAGCCTATAGTTAACAGTCTTTGAAATACAGAAAGGTGTGTGCATGCATACACATAATAATAATAATAATAATAATAATAATAATAATAATAATAATAATAATAAACATGGATCGCTGAGAAATCATTTTTAGTCAGTAGCTCCACTCTGTTACCTTGCAAAAACTATTCTTGTGGCTTTAACCATAGATAATAGCTTACCTAATCAGAAAGCTGTTTCTCTGTGCATTTCCTTTCATATTTCATTTATCTAACTACTGTTAAGTTAATAGCAATAAGGATGTTTTCAAAGGTACTTAAGCTCCTGTACATCTTTATTTTATTTCATTTTTTTCATCTGGTTCTTTGACTTTAAAGAAGGAAAAAAACTTCTGCAACGTGTTATTAGGTTTCCCATTTCAAGCACTTATTTAAAATGCACCTTGGCTCCAAAAGCAAATCAATATTTACAGTGCATTAGTGCCACAGAGAATTTGAAGCCTTGTGATTAGAGTTCATTGCCGTTTTATCCACTCTTCAAAGCAACCTTAGACATCAAACACGATCTGCCATCACCCAGGAATTTGTGACACTGTACTGAGCCTACACATGCCTTCTTCTGGTGTTTGAATAATTTAAAATATTTTTTCTTTGATTGTTTGTAAAAGGGGTACAATTCTGGAATATCTAAATTCAGTTAACCAGAAAATTATATCACATATACCTTATTATAATGTATCATTTTAAAAGTTCACAATTTTTGCGCTTACTTTTATATAGTTACTATTAGGTAGCAAGAATTGCAGATGGTGATAGAGGTGGGGAAAGAAGCACAGAAGCTTAATTGACTCCAAAACAACAATACTGGCAATTAATTAGAGAATAGATGGGGTGAACATGTCAGATGGCTTTTGGTAAACTATTTTGGTGTTTTGTCTGTGCACATACCTATATATCATTGTCATTCTGGCCTCAAGTAAATGATATGTTAATTTCTTATTTAAAAAAAAACAACAAAACTGAAATACATTTCAGATATATTTAAGCAATTAGGCATCCTGATTGACTTTTGTTGGTAAAGTATGGATATTAGTGCTAATCACTGGCATTTGAATATAGATTCATCCAGAGGAAAAGCTTCATGCTGGCAATAGATGGAGGTTTTCCGTCATATCTTCTCATTAACCATGTGTATAAATCTTTCGGGAGAAGGAAGGGACACATGAAAAGAAGCAGAGAAGCAGTATTTAAGTGTCTCATTATACTGACGTTTGTGTTGCGGAATTTTAAATGAGATTTTGGAAAAGGCAAGCTAATCAGTGAGGGTAGTATTACTGGCTTCATTATTTTTGATTTCTTCTGATGCATATTATAATTTGGGAATCCCTTTTCAGGCAGTTAGACTTCAAGAAAGATACTTAACAAGATGCATGCTCAGATTTTGCTTCAGCATAGACAGCCAGTGTTACACAGTGGTTATAAAGTTGGACTGGGGATCTGGGGGCTCCAGGTTTTACTCCCCATGTAGCCATGAGGCTGACTGGGTAACTTTGGGCCAGCCACTGAGTCTCTGCCTAGCCTGCCTCTTTGAGGTCCAGTGCTGGGACATGGGGGGCAAGAGACAAGACAAAGGCACTGGACCAGGGCAACAGCCCTTGAGGCAAGAGAGAGGCCAAAGTCCACAAGAAGGTTTAATGGCAAGTTTAAGTCATAGTCACCTAGAAGGCCAGGGTCAGGAACCAGAAGTGTGTCAGGGCAGGACAAGGACATGGTCATGAACAAGCCAACAGTCAAGAACAGGAAGACAAGCAGAGCTTAGATACCTTGAGGCAGAATAATTGGTCAGGTTGCATGGCAAGGGTCAGATAAGATGCAGCGGCTGAGCCACAGTTCGCAAGTAAGCCTGCCCTGCTGAGGTAAAGGCAGGACACGAACAGCGAGGCTGGCAAAATGCAGGAGCTACTGCAAACATGAAGGCGGGTGAGGTTGAGGCAGCTCTGGAGGGAAAAGCTTGCTTTTGTATAGTCCTTCCCCCAGGGCTCTCCACTGGCGCTGCTCAGGAGGCTGAGAACTCCAACAGGGTCTGGGATTGATTCTGTGCATACAGTGGTGATTGTTCTGCTTCCGGCCCCCAGAGCAGTCCAGATCTGGACAGCCTCACAGGATAAAATGGAGAGGAGGAGGAGGAAGACTGTGTAAACCTGTTTGGATACTGTACAAGAGGAAAAAAAAGATGGGATATAAAATGGTTAAAGATCTACCCCCTGAATTAGGGTTTTGAGCCAGAATGGGGCACTTTCCTAGAGTTTAAAAAAGACATAGCTGTCTAAAGTGACAGTGTGCCTTGAGTCTAAGGGGACAGTTCAAAATGTTCATCAGCTGCTGGATCTGATTTACAGCAGTTTCAGCACAGAAAAAAGTAGGAATCCCTTTGCATAACTCATATGCAATATGTGCTTTTTGCTTCCTCAAGACTTGGTGATGGCTACAACTTTTGAAGGAGAGTTAGGAAATTTCCTGCCAGCTGCTTTTAATCACAACAGGCAAATGGAATCACCTTGCTCTATATGACATAATTTTATTCTGGAGTACAAAGTGAGGGTATCCTGATTAAGCATGAGATCTAGGGGAGACAGATGGAAACATTGTGCTCAGTGTGTGTCCTGGGTGATGTCAAGCAAAGGAAGAGTCATGGTGGGACATTGAATGGAGCATGGCTGTATTTCTGGCTGGAATATTCTCGCATGGTCCCTGTTATTTCAGTGATTTTACCACTGCTTGCTGCTGACTGATTTGTAAAGATCTGGTGTCTATTTCTACAGTCCCATGAAGTTGCATGAGGGTTACCTTCATGGTCAGATAGTCGCAGGCCCGGCAAGTAATGAAAGATGTATCAGGAATGTCTCCTAAAATAGGGATACCTGAGACCCATCTGAATCTGAGTCCTCTGTGCAGATAATGGAGAACCTCAGAAACAAAGGGCATGACATTGGACAGTATGAAGAGTGTCTATTTGTATCATCATCCAGAGATGTTCTAAATACTAGTTGAGAGACCCTTACCTTGTCAGCAGTGCAGTGGTTCTTGGCCTTTAGGGGTCTGTCCGTGCTGTAGCTCTCAGTTGCTTTCTGGGATTATAGGCTGAAGAACAAAGAGTTGAGATTTGGATTTGGCCCTAACAATTTGCAAGGCTGTTTAATATGTTTGGAAATCTCATTGAAGTGCATAAACTGTGTGTTATTAGGTAAGAAATAATAGATACTTCTTGATATATGTGTCTAATTATTTTTGTTCCATTTTTATATTGCATTCTGCCTCATTAGTGGAAAACATATCTCTTCTAATGTGTTTTCTTTGTTGAACACCTTGGAATGTAATAAAAATGCATGGTATTTAAACAGGGAAGAGAGACAGCCTAATGAAAATAAAATGCATTTTTCATTTTTACTTATTTTTCCTGTTTCCCAATGGCGTGCTTGAGAACTTGCTGCTTTTGGGTTCTCTTGGGTGCTGCTTGTTACCAAAGAAGTTTAAAGGCAGGATATCATGCTGCTAAACAAATATTCAACATAGCAATATCCTTAGATCATATAAATCCTTATGGTTGGGAACATAGTGCTCTGTTGGCTCCATGCCAACCACAGTAAGAATTTCAGTCCCGATCAGGACATCTGAATGCTATCGCGCAAAAGAAGCTTGAAGAATAATGGCTTTCAACTGTTGGTGATTTCCATTCTGCTCCAGTCAAGTGTGTGGTTAAAAATCGATAGCTTCGGTATACTGTAAATTTGTTCTTACCAAGTTAAGTAACAAGCCAGAGTTTAATCTTGGCTTGTTTGAACAAACAAACCACAGTCTTTCAAGTTTGTCCATAATGTGCCACTATGGTTTGCTGTAATGTAGAAGTGCTTGCTCCCACTGTTCCTCATGCATGAAAGAGAAGAAGGGAAGGCAGGGTTTTCAACCCCAAGACTTGCTTGACTCCTTTGTGATCATGATTGTCTGAAACTTACCTCTGCCTGAATTTCTAAATATCAGTCATGGGGGAGACAGTAATGTTAGGCAGCATTTCCAACTTCTAAGCCCTGGCTGATACTTTCAGCTGGGAACAGTGTTGCAGTAAATTATGGAGGATGAACACCCCCCCCCCTTTTCCCCTACCATATAGACACCTTTAGTGTGAATCTGGCCTTCCCTGTGATATCCAATTTGCATGGAAGCCTGAACTGGTTGCTCCCCACTGACTGTTATTTTGCTTTGAAGGTTGGGGGAGAATTCATCAGAATTTTTGAAGTGCTTTGGATGCATTAAGTTAATAAATTCTTACTGGCGGAACAAGTCTGTATTTTGGAGCAAAGCAGCTGTTAAGGCTGTTAAGATGTAAGGATGAGCAGTCGAGCAGTGCTGCAGTACCTTGCATCATTCTTTGAGGAGATACTGGACTAGCTTCTACCAAAGATGCTTCAGTGAAAATAACCCTTCCTTAAGTTGGTTGATAAGTAGATACTAGTCTCAAAATGAGAGTTCTACAATTTCCTTACTTAATACAGGGGCAATGGTCTTAAATCTGAGTTTGATGTTCTCCTTGTCTTTTCAGATATGCCTCTTCATGTACGGCGCAGCAGTGATCCTGCATTAGTTGGTCTCTCAACATCAGTCAGTGAGAACAATTTTACATCTGAAGAACCTTCTCGGAAAAACCCCACGAGATGGTCCACAACAGCAGGCTTCCTCAAGCAGAACACTTCCGGTGGGCCAAGGACTCATGAAAGAAAGGTATTATCTCCCTACCCCAGCCAAACATTAAATAAGGAACTATTTAATGGTTCAATTAATGCTTTTGTATGTTTTATGAAAATACTGTTTATGGCTAAATGGATGATGATGTGCTTTATATCAGAAAGAGTAGCAGCGTTATCACAACATTGGAAACAAAGTTTTGTGAAGGTTTCTTTGAAAGGAAGCTTGTTGCACTGATGATCCGTGTGACTTGTGTGCTCAGTGCTTGTGTACTGTATCGGATTGGCACCCTACAACGTCTTTTCTGTCTAGTTACTGAATGCAGGATATAGGGGGTCAGCAGCTGGATGCTTCCCTACTCCATCTGGCTGGCTGAGCAGATACCAACTAGGCCAACAGCTGGCAATCTAGAAGTGTCTGCCAATTAGGTCTTCCCCGCTTATCAAGGTGGGCTCCCAAAGAAACAAGTTGCTGACTGTACAGATGTGTCATACGAACTTATTGGGTCACACTAAAGTATCCATCAGATAGATAATTTTGTCTTCCGTCAGTGGCCTGCAAAACGGTTACTATGAATTTGTAAGTTTGCAAGATGTAGGATGTGTTTAAAATTGGGTTGCTAAGCATGCTGTTGGGTTTTGCAAGCATTATTTTCAGAAAAAGTCTGGGTTTCCCCTGCCAAATCGCCAAGGTAGCTCTTGATGTAGTACCCAACATTTCCTATCTTTCCTTGTAGAACAATAAGCTAGGCAGAGAAATGGCTTTGCTTAAATTTCCTAGACAGACGTCTCTCAATGTGACGCATGTTTTTTTTCACCTTTCCTTTGAGTTCAGTATCTCCACATGAGCAATATTACTGGTGCCTAAAGTAATCAGCAGGAAGCTTATTTTCCTATGTACCTTTATTTTTAAATAGATTACTTCAAAGGATTTTTTTTTTAGTTTTGTTTAGTCCCTCTGCTCTCTTTTCTTTGACCTATTTCTGATTGTGAAAAGACTTCTTTCAAAAAAGTGCTTAATATTACTTCATTTTCAAAGCTGGGTTATAGTAATGAATTCTCCAGGCATTTTGCATTACTTAGTTTAATAGCTGAAATTTGTACTCATACATACCCAGAAACTACTACACAAAAACTTACCTTGTATAAGATAAGGTTTTTTGTTTTGTTTTTTGGTTGTATTTACATATCCTTTTTATTTCATGGGCTCCAAATGGCTTATAGCAACATCATCAATATCTGTCTCAAGAGGGTTGACAATTTGGGTGATTTGAAGAGATCCTGGAGGACAAAGAGAAAAACCCTTTCTACTAAAAATACATTTTTGTCACTTTTGTTCCCATTGTTATCAAATACAACTCTATCATTCTGCATCCTTTGTTTTAATTCTGTTTACCTCCCACTTCTATAAATTTCAGACTGCAAACAAGAAGCTTAACAGTAACTATGTATAAGTAACACAGATTTACTCTTGCCCTATATTTTCTTTTAAAGGCTGCAGTGTGAGAAAGCAGATCTCGTTACATTTGAGGAAGCAGCAGCAGATGTTAGCCTTTCTTCTTTGACTCCTTCTCCTCTATCCAGCAAAGTTTGTTCGAAACAGCTGCTGTGAGGGGAAGAATAGGGTCAGTTCCAGCTAGTGAAGAGCAAGTAGGTGGAGATGGGGGTGCCAGCAGGTTGACTCATCAATAGAACAGTTTTTGAGCATTTAGAGCTCCATGGGGCCTGTACACCACTCAGAAGCTCTCTTGAGGCATTCAGCAGTATGTGAGTAGGGCTAGAGTGTGTAGGGCCCTGAGCATGCAACCAGCTGCTGTAGAGGTCTGAACTGGTCCTGCAAGTCCCTTCAGCTGGATGTGCTTATCAAGCTCCCTTCCATATCATTAGAAGGTTCAAGTTCTCAGCGGCTTCCTGTGAAAAATTCACAAGCCACATGGAAAATTAAAGAGTCCATAGATGGCAGGATTTGGACTCTCCTGTTAGTGCAGTTTCATAAATGGAGGTATCCAGAGCACCATGTTGTTCTGCTGTATTGCATGAGTGTTAGTTGCTTTGGTACATGGGTGGAGGCAAAGTGGTTGGATGAGTTTGACTGCACATTAGTATGTCTGGCCCCTGCCCATCTTGGCTTCTTATATCTAATGTGGGGATAGTTGTTGCATCTGGGAAAGTGTAAATTCCTCTTTGAAAGAGGCTTAATACCATCCTCCTTAAGAGAGGTAGTAATAAGGCCACTCCTGAAGAAACTAATCTGAATCTAGAAATGGAGGACAACTGTACATTGGTTGCTAATATCATCATCTTGAGCAAGTTGCTGGAACATATAGTTGTTGATCAGATCCAGGCATTCTTTGATGAAGATGATTTACTAGATGCATTTCAATCCAATGTCATACCCTGATTTGGACAGAAACTGGCCAAGAAGCTGAAGCTTACTCCAGGAAAAAAAGATGGATGTCCTCATTAGCAAATGGTTCATTTGTTTGGTTGAGTGGTGTTCAGCATGTCCTTGAGAAGGATGCACTTCCCTTGAAAGATCATACAAGCATGGAGGTGCTATTGGTTCCATCAGTACCACTACAGTAGTCCCTCGAAATTCACGGGAGTTGCATTCGTAGAGCACCCGCAAATGGTGAAAAACCGCAAATTTTGAATGTGGTAAAGGTTCATTGCCAGAAGCCATAGAACAGGGGTCCTCAAACTTTTTGGGAGGCCAGTTGAAAGGTGCCAGCGATGGGCACAGGTTGCCAAGGTGGTGCGGGTGGGGGCCATTGGCTGGGTTGGGGGGGGCGCGTGCGCGTGCTCAGTGAGGCAGGGATGGGCATGCACAGAGATCAAGCGAGTCCAAATTGATCTCCTTGCCAGCGCCGGCTTACTCGCAAGGAGATTGGTTTGGACTTGCTTGGAGAAAACTATCTCCTTGCAAGCAAGCCACTGCACGGCAAGGAAAATTCTGTGAAAGACTGAGGCCGTGAATTCTGAACCGCCACTTCACAGGGGTATACTGTAGTTACTAGTTGGCTAGGACTCCCTTGCATCAGCTCAGGTTAGTATAGCAACTAAAACTCTATCAGGTCATAGACAGTAATCTCTCTGTTGGATTACTGCATTGTGCTACATGTGGAACTATGTTTGAAGACGGTTTGGAAATTTCAGGTAGTTCAAAGCAAAGGCGCTGTATTACTAGCTGACTGAGCCCCACTGGCTCCCAGACCATTTCCAAGCCCACTTCAAAGTGTTGGTATTGACCTTTAAGACTCCAAATGTTTTGGGACCATTTGATATATACCTGACTAAGTGTTTACATCATGTTTGGGACATGTTTGGGTGTCTCTGTTGAAGGAAGCTAGACAGATGGCTGTAGGAGAGGAGGCCTTCTCGTTTGTGGCTTTCTGCTTATAGAATACATAAGTTAGTTAAAGAAGTTTTCCTAGTACCTAACTAGTTTTGGTACCAGGCAAAGACTTTTATTTTCTCTCCAACATTTGAGATACCTACTAAATTTTGATAACTACACATGCTGGCTCTATTTTATTATATTGTATTTTCATATGTATGTGTATTTTATTTTCTGTTTTGACTCTATGGCATTTTACTCTTCTGTTTGCAATTTACCCAGAGAATGCTGGTTGTTGGGAGGATCAAGCATCTACATTCATAGGCTAACCAGATGCACAGGGTCGTGAGCTCCAGTTTGCATGTAGGTATCTTGCATATATGAGCTTTTCTCATATGCGGATGAGAACAGGAGAAGACGTTCTTCAGATGCTTTGGTCCCAAGCTATTTAGGGTTTTAAAGGTCGATGCCAATATCTTGAGTATTTGCTAGACACTCCCTATCTTTTATGTCTGTTGATAGCATAATTTAATCTCAGAAGCCCAATGGAAATGCTGCACAAATAGTATTGTCTGACAGAGTGTTTGATTTGTGTTTTGGAAATGCAGTTATGAAGGCTCATGTATAACATTATGTAAGCTGGAGCCTCACAACCTAACCTATTGCACAGGTTTCTTAATAGCTGCAAACCGTATAACCTAATGGAGGGGTCCCCAGTGCAGCACCTGTGGGCACCTGGGAAACATTTATTTATTTAATTTTCTGATTTTTTTTTTTCATACACCTGTATGGATTAGTAGTTGTTGATGTCAATGAAATGCATACAGCTTTCTATCAATTACACACAGGCTTCGTCAAAGGCTGACCAAATATCCAAATAAGAATCCATTTGATTTTTGTGTCAGTATGCCACCTGCTCTAGTGCAGAATGTATTGTAAGGTCCTCCATCCATTACATTTATCAAAATGGGTCACAGAATCCACTTCTACAGACATTTCTTAATTTCCATGGAACAGTAGACATAAAACAAGTTTTGCTGGAGTAGACACAGTCTAAGATCCATAAACATCATAGAGCCACCAAAGTGGCAGTTCCTTGATTTTGACATTTCTTTTGGAAAAGTGGCAATCCACTGATTTTTGCTTTCCAGCATGGCATTTTGTGGTGGTGCCCATAACATTCCTATATAAGTGCACAGTTCCCAAAATGCCCTGAGCTAATATGTGCCATGTTAAACTATATTTAGTAAGAATGGGATGGTCAAATTTATCCTAAAGGTGATAAATTTATAGGCTTAGCCACAGAGTCTTTGTAGTAAAATACATGGAATGCAGAATGTTGGCAATGGAATGGAACTGCTTTAGTTAACCAGTTATATTCTCTTAATGAAGTCAGAAATCTTCTTCGAAAAAGAATAGCTTTGGTTTGTTTCATAACTTTTTCTCATCCTGGATTGTTTCTAGCTAATCCAAAATCTTAAGGTTAGCAAATATGTCCCCTTTCTTCCTGGCACTTGTGCTAAACTGTATTAGCAATTTGACATTGACATTTCTCCATTTGAAGTTGATATTCAGTACAAATTTGAAGGCATTTTACTCCCACTCAAATCACATATGTTTGAATATAAATGAAATATATTACGGAGACTTTATGTTATTAAAGTTTAGCTTGATACACCATGTGGGGAGGATCTTGGCAC